TGGCATGCCACAAAACCAGGTTCAACCCACCATTTTTTTCTTAAAATGTCCTGTACCAAGTCAGGAAAATGGCCATTGTTATATTATAGTTCGTTTCTGTGTGTGTTACATTTTAATGTTGTGTTTTTGTTGTGTCGTTGTTCTCCTCTTATATTTGATGCGTTTCCCTCAGTTTTAGTTTGTAACCCGGATTTGTTTTTATCTCTATCGATTTATGAGTTTCGAACAGCGGTATACTACTGTTGCCTTTATTTATCTAAGATAACCCGGTTTTGATAGGGTTCGTGTTTTTTTTAGTCTTTAGTTTTCCATGCAAACTGTTATTTTTCTTATGATCGTTTTTCGTTGTTTTTTTTTATTCGTCATGACATTATCAGTTTATTTTTAACTTATGAGTGTGAATATCACTTCCGACTTTTGACATTAATATTCTCTTCCTCTTGTAATAAATAACTGGAGTTTTTGTATCATATTTTTTAAAAAGAACGGCGATGCGTTTTTGTCTCTGATTTCTTGTACTGTGAACAAACAACCGAACCTAAACACACTAATTATACAACGCAGTTTGGTATTTGTTCTTTTGATAATGTATGGAATATTCTTATCCCAATAAAGCTGTCACTTACGTTTGGAATACCGTTTTTTATTATAAAATTTTCCTTTCTGTATATAGTTTCGATTAAGACTGTCTTAATTCATCAGTTCAATAATGTGTGTCCATATTCCAAAAGTGGTCTTATGAATCTGATATAGATGTTGATTTGGTTTTTTTTTTATTGTAAGTTTTAGTTTACTCAGTTCATTTACCGTTCTAATGCAGACTTAATTAGATTATTAATATGGCAAGTCAAAATTCCACCTGATGAGAGTGTGATGCCTAAATGCTTGTTATATTTCAACGATTTCACCATTATATACAATATTCCATTTTTATGGTTTAACATTGGAATTACCAATGTTTGTGTTTTCTTTGGGTAAAAAATTTTCGACTTATGAGATTTGAACATCTGTAAACTAGACATTGTGTCCATTCTATTTGATTCATTATTCATTTATCTTACTTAAATAGAATTCAATCCACCCTTTTAATTTTTACACCGTCATATTGATTATTTTACTTGTCCAACGCAAAAAAGTAAAAAATGATTTGTAAACTATACTTAACAAAATTTGTATAGGAGTAATAAAAATGTAAAAACATATATTGGTATGAAAAAACAAACAACTGTTCCTCTTTATCTAATCATTTCAAACGAATCTTTTTTTTTTTAAATTTTACCGTTTTATATGTAGATGTGTAGCAAATGTTCTTAACAGGTAAAACAGCAGGTTTCGTTACGAAAATTATAGCAACGATTCAGCTAGTTTGTCTGTCTATGCTTCATCGCTTTTTTTTAAGTATAAACAATCGACCAAACAATTACCAACTGTCTCAAATAACAATAGGACCTTATGGGCTGATTGTTATAATTGCAGCGGTGTCTTCTATCTATTCATTTTTTTATAAGTTCAATTCACAGATGAAATATTTGTTACACTACCCGAAAAAGGGATCTAAGAAGGTTTTAATGACAACCAGACTTATCGTAGTAACATTAGTTTCTGTTTTTGATAGATTAACTTATCATTATTTGACCTAGACTAGTTGTTATATAAAAAAAGTCTCAGAGTGTACATTGAACATTCAATTGAGTAATCAAATAAAACAAAAGTTAAAAGGGTATGCACGAAAAGAACAAATATTTGACGTCAATTTGATGATAAAAACAGGTTGAAATTGATATATTTTACCAACATTTGACCATTAAAAAAAAAATCTGGACAAAATTGGATAGGGTACAATGCCTTACCTAAATAGAAATTTTACCATCATTAACATTTTTGTATGAATCATCTTGAACCAAATCATTTATTCGGGTACGGTATTGACTCATATCTAGATATAAATAACAAATTCTCAAAAGGAGGCTATTGTGACATTTATTTAAAAGTTGTACAGCGTATGATGATCCCATAGACAAAAGGGGAAGTGTGACCGTCGTAGTCATTCGTCATGAAAAAAGCCATATTATCATTGGACAACATTGTTAAAATCATTAACTTCCATATAATGATTCTTATAATGGATCTTTAGATTCCTCAACATGTTCAAGTTGCCTTAGCATCATTTTCAGCATGATCTCGGGATTCTAGAGATTGGTATCTACAACAGATATAATCAAATTAATTCTGGGATGCTGTCATCAATTGTTTAATTCAATTGCAAAAAGAGAGTAAAAATACCAATAAAGCAATAAGAATAAAAGCAGTCAAGACAATCGCAACAAATAAATGCGAGGAACAAAGCAAAACATTACACAGGAAAGTTAAGGTTGAGAAATTCGAAACCCAACCAAAACGGAGGTAAACTCAGGTGCTCCGGAAGGTAAAGCAGTTCCCACTCCATATTTGGCACTCGCAAAGTTGCTAAATAAACATATTGCTGGAAAAAAATGTTCTTCTTTTTTATTATAAGTGAATGGACTAATAAATCGATTTATGAAACTATCTGATTTTTTTTTATTATACCTTGTGGATTGCTATTTTGGGTAAATTCGAGTATTTTAGAAGTTTAGATCAGCTACAAAAATGAATATTTAACACATTGTACCGCAATTAAGTTGTTTATTGTACAAGACCTCTAATTAGATAAAATTAAGTACTTTGAAGACAGGAGGAGTTGAGATTCATTCTGTTTACCAACTAGAAAGGAACGTTACAGTTTTCAAGCAATTATTCATTCAGTCTTATATTTGTGGTCATCTGGTTCCATAGCACTCCAAGTGGTAAGATGTAAGCAAAACAATTCATAATAAAAAGAAATCATTCAGATGAAGACATAAAAAGTATCCGGATTAATAAAACTTTGTGAACTAATACAATTATTCATAAGATATGCTCTGAACTAATGCTAACGAGACCGGGTGAAGGTATCGATACTTAATGTATCTATAATAAATGTAAAAATGTCAATAACATTTTGTTAAAGAGAGACCGTACACTGACCTATAATTGTAAACTTTTTATACATTGTGACTTGGATGGAGAGTTGTCTCATTGACACTCATACCACATCTTCTTAATTATAGAGAAGAAAAAACTGAGACGTCATCGTTCCCGTGCTTATTTGTCATGCTTGGTTGGCATTAACAGACCAGAATTTCGTAGTTCAACAACTTATTTTATGAATGCAAAAGTTTACTTAATAGTTTAAAAGACGAATTATTCCAGATAAAGAACGAACGCATTACTAATGAGAGACAATGCTTGAAAGATAACAGTTTAACTAAGGATATGACTTCGAGTTTAAGTTCTCCCTACGTTGCCATAGTGACCTTGTTCAATAGTTTAAATTAAATGTTTTGTCTTGATTCGGATAAACTCATTAAAGGACAAATAACAATGCAACTGTCAATAATCAAATAAATGGCTTATGGCATTCTAAACAGAGTGTAATTGGGAACAATGTTCGAGTTCATGTTGATACAACGTCGATTACCTGCTTAGCATCTGTTAAAAGAGGGGCGAAAGATACCAGAGGGACATTCAAACTGATTAATCGAAAATAAACTGACAACGCCATGGCTAAAAAAGAAAACGACAAACAGACAAACAATAGTACACAAAACACAACATAGAAAACTAAAGACTAAGCACCACGAACCCCACCAAAAACTGGGGGTGATCTCAGGTGCTCCGGGAGGGTAAACAGATCCTGCTACACATGTGGCACCCGTCGTGTTGCTCATGTTAGTACAAACCCGGTAAATAGTCTAATTCAGTAGGTCACATTCGTGAAAAAGGAACGGGATTGTAGTTACGACATTAGGAACATATCCGCTATCATCTGTGAAACGGATATTCCATAACGGTCAACCAACTCGTGATGGCGTCCGTACAATTTACGAAGGGATGATTTCAACGTCATCATTTGGAACTCTTGGTTTAATAGCTTCCTTGTGAGAAGCAACCCTCTTTGAAGGAAATCATCATAGGAAATACAAGCCCTGGAATATCGTATCAATTGGGAGATGTATACTCCGTATACAGCTGATGCGGGAATGTTGCTACATAGAAATGGAAATTTCATAATTGGGAAGCTGAAATCATCTCTTTTGTCGTAAAGTGTTTTTTTTCAACCGACCCTCATTGTCAATCTCTAGATGTAAGTCAAGATATGACGCAGACTTAACTGTATCTGTTGTATCCTTTATCTCTAGTTCGATGGGATAAGGGTACAACATAGTCACCAAATTTTGAATTATTCAGTTAGAGAATATCATCTATATAGCGGAAAGTAAAGTTAAAGGATACTGCTAACTTCTTTTCTGTCTTCCTAAGAAGTGCCTGTATGAAGTCAGCCTCATAAGAATAAAGGAACAAGTCAGTAAGAAGAGAGGCATTGTTGGTTCCCATGGGAATTCCGATAGTTGTTGAAAAACATGTCCTCTAAACGTAACAAATATGTTGTCAATCAAGGAATCAAGCATCTTGAAAATGTCAATTTCAGAGAATTTTTTGTTTGAATCAGAGTGATTTTTTACAAAGTAGAATTTATCCCTCCCTAAGACAAGATACTTGTATCTACGATGGCCATTCTTTTTTATGAAACAAAGCAATACCAACTCTTTCAATCTGTCTTTTAGTTTGGAATGGGGAATACTTGTGTAAAGTGTAGAAAAGTCAAATGTTTTAATACTGTTGCAAGATGAAAGAGTCTTAGATTGTATGTACTCTAAAAGATCTTTGGAATTTTTTAGTATCCAAATCTAATTCACGCCACCTCTAGAATAGGAAGTTTCACAATAACTTTGAAGCCCGGCTTTGATTGCTGATAAAATTGATGTTAACAATTTAGAAAGATGTTTCGTGGAGCACTTGTTAAGTTAGTTATAAGGAAAATCGAAAAAAAGGGTTAACAAAATGCCAACATAGAAATTTATATAAATCTTTTCAAGAAACTAACCTAAATCTGATCCCTCAGGCTGAATGGACTTTGCGTCTGAAAAATACAAAAAAAATATTTACAAGAAACATCAATGATCAAAAAAGTTAGAACACTAAACAGATAATTCCGTGACGATCATTTTCTGTACAAAAAACTGTAAGATCTTTGATCGTCGATATATAATCTTTCAAGGAACTAAAGATCTTTAATTCCTATGACGTCATTGTTTTTGTGCTGCTAGATAGGAGATTAAGAACAAATCTATTCCAAACAATAAGATATAAGGGAAGAATAACATGTCTATGACGCAACACTGTTAGAGTAGATTTCTTAAAATTTCACCTGTCTCTATTTACATCATCAATCTTCTTGTGACAATGTTTGACACTTATAGCAGGATTCAATCTTTATTCTCTACAACAGGATAATTAATAACATGTATCGTATTTAAAATTGTTTTATTGTTTATACATATATTATACTGAATTTTTTTTATGTAGAAGCTGTTTGGTCGTTTCCACTGCCAGTGGAAGTTTCCTCCCCGAGTATATCACCATCCCAGTAATTAACACTTCTGTGTTGACATGAATTATCATTGATATAACCATAATTATAAATCGACTGTTTATTAAAAACTTAAAATTTTTCAAAATACCAATGATTGTCTATCCCAGGAATTACCTGTCGAGGCATCTCATAGAAAGTGTTTGGCCGTTATAGAACACACATCTGTTTCATAGATAATCACAGATATGTTCCGAACCTTTCTCTTTTCTTCAGATGTGACGTCACAGAATGTGTACCTACCATGAAGAATCAATTGAGCAGAATCTGCTCACCATTTCGGAGAACCCGAGATCACTCCCAGGATATGTGGGGTTTATTTAGTTTTTTTTATATAATATTGTCGGTTTCTCTTCGACTCATGAATTTTGAATGTTTCTTTATTATCTGTCGACTACGGGTTTTGAGATACATCTCTTGTTCTCCACTGACGATTTAATTTTACCATCGCAAATTGGTTGATTATATCTTGATCTTGTATGTTTGTGACTTCATAAAAATTTCCTTCAATACTTTATTTCTTTTTAATCCTTGCAAAAATATTTTCATTACGACTTTTTCCACAGAGCAATTTGACGGGTTTAAATGCATGTTGGATAAACCTATCTAGGTAGTTGGTATTGATCCAGCTTGATATTGATGAAGCTGTGGCTCAAGTAATCGCTGTTTATTTATCATCATATTACAATTATAAATCTTGTTTCTGTGTCGTCCGATAATATTTGTTTTTTTCATTTCTCCTTACAAAATTTGCGGCCATATGTCCCGACCGTTGTTAATTTTTTTTCTATTTTAGTTTATTTACTTGACGAACTATTCATTATTTATATTTGTTAAAAGTTTACAAAATATAGAATTATCACAGGATTACCTTTTTTAGCATGAGTAACCAGACCAATCACCACTAAGTCTGTGACAAATAGAATAATTCCAATTATTATTATCGGCACAACCGACTGATCTGAAACAAAAAAGGCATTTATGAATATTCAGAATAAGTTTACTCAAGATATAGTATATTGACTGACTGAACACACAACGAGTATGCCCTAACAATTAAGATAACAACAGCAATGATAAAATTCGAGCATGAATTAATAAAACGAAATAAAGTATTCCATAGTTTTCATACAAATAGGAAAGGTACCCTTATTATGTTAAATATATCTATGATGTATGTATACACAACTTTGGCTGCTTGATCTCAAGTGATGTATGTATACACAACTTTGGCTGCTTGATCTCAAGTGATGTATGTATACACAACTTTGGCTGCTTGATCTCAAGTGATGTATGTATACACAACTTTGGCTGCTTGATCTCAAGTGATGTATGTATACACAACTTTGGCTGCTTGATCTCAAGTGATGTATGTATACACAACTTTGGCTGCTTGATCTCAAGTGATGTATGTATACACAACTTTGGCTGCTTGATCTCAAGTGATGTATGTATACACAACTTTGGCTGCTTGATCTCAATTATCATGATTATTGTCACGTCCTTTGAAAATATACTGCAACTGCATTTGCTACAACTTGTGAAAATCTTTCTTTTGTAACGAGAAAAAGTAAATGTTCCAGATATTCAAAACTTTTAATTTTCTCCTTAATTCCTTATATGAACTTGTTGCTACTTCAGTTCATTCACAAATTGTAGGTATTCATATTGCCACCAAATGCGCACCTATATCAGCAATTTTTCATTTATAGTTATGAAATACAGCTTATGACCAGACCAAAAGAGCCGTCTAAATTACTTTTAATTGAAGAGAAAATTAATGACACTTTCCGTTACCATCATTTCATTTTTGCTTATGATAATCAATTTCTATCTTATTGAAAGTTACTATCGTGACAAAAACGTATATAAAAAGCTATAACTGTATATAAAATATATGTGCTTATTTCATTTTCACATACGAACTCAATACAAAAGAGAAGTTTTTTCAATCCCTTGTTCTCTATTGTTAATTTTCCTTTTTGACGGTGATGTTGTTTGTCTCCTTCTTACAGTGTCTATATTTCCCAACTAGCTCGCTTGTCCGTTCTTGTTTCAATTAACGGTAATGTATATATAACTGGTAAAGAATAAGTTTAGGGATTTACTAAAAACTTTTCCCGCTATTAATCGTCGAAATATTTAATTTGGCTTGGCAACTGTTTTGATTCGAGGGCCACTAATGAGTCTTGTGTAGGCAAAAACGCGCGTCTTGCGTACCAAATTTATAAACCTAGTATCTCTATAGAGGTTTTTATATGATTTTTTGTTTAAAGCTACTATTTGGACAGGATTAATTTTTTTTACAGTTTTGATTTAGAAAAAAAAACACGACATGGTTAGAAAATACAAATAATTACACCATTACTAACACAATTCTATATTAATATTCTTGTAATGGTTAGAAAATACATAAAATAACACCACTACAAACTTAATCCCAATTTTATATTCTATTTTTAGAAATTTACTTGTGACGTCACTTTTTGTGGCGTTGATACATTCGTGTGGCACACATTTCATAATTCTATTGTGGTGTAAATGAGAGGTGTCCGTTGTTATTCTGTGGTTTACATGTTGTAATGTACTATTATATTATTCATTTATGTATGTCTCTGTCCTGAGTGTTCCTGCGTTAAGTTGTAATGTATTCCTGTCATGTAATGTTGTCATATTAGCGTTATTTGTAACATTGCCATATAAGCGGGAAGTTTGGCTAGCCATTAAATCAGGTTCAACCCACTATTTTTTCTTAAAATGTCCTGTGCCAAGTATATGGATATACAGGAATATGGCAAGTGTTATCAAATAGTCCGTTTCTATGTATGTTTGCGTTTGTTTTTGTAGCAGTTCAGATTTGATGTTGTTCCGTTGTTTTCCTCTTATAGTTAATGTGTTTCCCTCGGTTTTGGTTTGTGACCCGAATTTGTTTCAGTTAAATCGATTTATGACTATTGAACAGCGGTATACTACTATTGCCTTTATTTACCTTGTATATTCGTACAATGAAACAAACATTCAGTTTTGAGGTTTGACTTTACTTTCGGAAATTCTATGATGAGTCTATGAGCATTCATGCTATATCGATCTTTCAGGACCCAATGTTTGTTAGCACCTGTCCCAACTCCATAAGGAACATCCTTTTCACATTACGTAAACTGATTGACAAAGAAATTAAGGTATTGGCAATTCATTTGGAAAATAAATAAATACCCGACACTTACCAAAGTGGAAATCCTAAAAAATCATTCTGAACTGTGATCCTTAGGAATTTAATGTATTGATACCAAAATCATATAGGTGTCCTTATAAAGAATGTTACATTCTTTGGTACTCGTAGTGCTCCACAAAACATTTATCAATTTCATCAGTAATCGAAGCCCAATTAGAGTTATTGTGAAACTACCTTTAATAGGGAAAGTGAGAATCATATGGGCAAACTAGAAAATTGCAAAGATATGTAAGGGAACATACAATCAAAATCTCTTTCCTCTTTCAAATTATATAAAAAAGCATAGGCCATTTCTACACCTTTTACACAAGTATTTCCCATTCCCTACTTGAAGACTTATTGAAAGAAGTAGACTTACATTATTTTATGAAAAAAAATGGCCAACGTAGAAACAATTATTTTGTCTTACGGAGGGATAAATGAAACATTGTAAAACGTCTCTCTTGGTTCAAACAAAAATTATCTGAAACAAATATTATGATGATGCTTGGTGTTTTTATTGACAAAATATTCGTTCCATTCGGCTAACGTGTTTTTCAACGATCAATTGGCATTCCAATCTATATTCATCTTCTTGCCGATTTATTCTTTTATTCATATGAGGTATCCCCATACAAGAGCTTCTTATCAATAATTGAAAACGAAGATAGCATTAGCCTTTTACTTCACGTTTTGCTATAAAGATGGTGTCGTCTCACTAAACAATACAACGATTCGTCTATGTCTATCCCATCGAACAAATAAAGAATTCAACAGATGCAGTAAAGTCTGTCTCATATCTTAACAAACATATAAAAATTGACAATGAGAATCGGTTGAGAAGTTTACAGCTTCAAAATTATGAACTTTCATTTATAAGGTAGCAATTGTCCGACAGCGCACGCATATGTAGTATATGTCTCACAGTTGAAACGATATTCTACAGCTTGAGTTTCCAACCATGATTTCCTTGATCGAGGGTTGATGTTTACAGGCAACTATTCAACCAATGGTTCCAAGTGTTGTACTTGAATCCATCAACAGTTTACGTTTTAAGGTTTAACGGTTGCAATCACGAGTCGGTTGACCTTTATGACATATCTGTTTCAAAGATGATGACGGATATGTCACAATTGTAAAAAATATCAATCCCGTAATGTTTTCCTCGATTTAGACATTACTGAATTAGACTTAGCAGCAAATTTTACTCTAGAAGAGCAACATGATTTGTGTTACATGTGTAGCAGGATCTGCTTACCTTTCCGGAACACTTGAGATTAAACCTGGTTTTGTAGTGGTTCGTGTTGCTTAGTGTTTTGTTTTGTATGTCGTGCTTTGTAGAGAGTTGCTGGTATTTTTGTCGTTTTTCATATGTTTTGGGCTTGGCATTGCCAGTTTGTTCTCGAATCATGAGGAAAAAAAACCTTTGTACCTTCCCCATGTATTTTATAACAAACGGGAAATCACATCCTAATGTTCAAGGTGATATTGTTTAAAAGTCTCCATCAATTTAGAAACGATGCCCGATAACCTATTGATCCTTTTTCAATAAACTTATTCAAAAAGGTTTTCAATGTTACATTGAAGGAATATATTCTAAAATTGATTTTGTCGTTGATTAAATAAAAAAAAAAACTCAATATGTATTAATGTACAGTTATGAAGACATTGGTTCTTTCATACTGTTTTTTTCTTAGAATTTGGCATTTCACAATGTCTTGTTTTCTCAGACTTCTTTAACACGTTTAACACTAAATCCGTAGAATGTGTACTCAATGGTACTGTGTTTGAATAAACATTGCACAAGGCCATGCTTTCTTTTATTGTTAATGACGTCTTAACACTAATCCTTTGGATGTTGGATGTGTACTGACTGATAGTTTAGTCTTAGATATAAGATTTTTTTATTAGTTGTTTTTGGTTTTGAACTACCTTATAGTAACTGCGAATACTCTCAGATTTGTTCTTTGTGTCTTTTGTGTTTTTGTAAGGATATTTTTGTGCTAATGATTTAAGCTCTTTTCGACTGAGTTTGCTCTTATGTTGTACTATCACACCACTGTCCTAGGTAAAGGTGAGGGTTTGGCAACAGCAAACATGTTCAACCCGCCACATTCTGACAACAGAAATAAGCGTGTGATAGTTTAACGACATTACAAGTTTCAGTGGGATAGACAATCGCGGAATCAATATATAACGGAAGTTCACCACCGGGTGTTTTTTCTCAGAAAAACCTCAGAGACAGCTGTCTGTGCCCGGAGGTTATCACCAATCAAGTGGCCGGTACTTTGATACTAGTATGACACTACGGATATTGTGTTATTAAAATTTGCTGTAACGACATTATCTTAAATTAAGGAATATATCACTCCTTCATGCACAGACCTGTTTACCTGCCCGGACTCGTATTTACGTTTTGTCCCTTTTGGTTTTATAAGCTCTTCTTGTTTTTAAAAGATTTAGATTTAAAATACGTTTGCTTCGGTCATTACTGAAGAAACGTTTATGTCAAAAAGGGCATCTGATGCAGAAAAATTGGTACTGTTAATGTTTGATATTTTTGGTACAATTACTAAAATCAGTTGACAAATGTTCAACCTAGCTGTTTGTACCACCAATAGTAGTATTCAAGTATTTATACTGAAAACATTAAATGCAAATACACTTCTCTATTTATAATAAAATGTTGCATTAGAAAGATCACTAAGAAATAAATTGCCAAATAAGTAAATAGACGATTAACAACAGAC